ACTGAATGTCACTCGGATACAGACCCCAGCTGGAACAGTGGAATCGGATGTGTGTCTCGATTCTTGATCTGTTCTGCAAGCCACGCGGACCAATCGCCCATTAGAGATACGGGTCTGGCAGGATGCAAGTGAAGCGATCCAGCGGATCTTGAACATGCAGTCTAGATCTAGTAGCTATCATCTATAGTGCTTTTGTGAATGTGGTCTCAGAATCCTCCTCTGAGGCTTTGCCCTCCAGCGGCAGCATCGAATTCAGCATGTTCGTTGATGCCCAAGACACCAAAGACATCATAGATGCCACCGGCGCGATCCTCTCTCTCCTTGACGAAGCCGGTGTCGCGCAACTCAGCCATTGCCCTCCGGCACGAATTGTAGACCTCAGACAAGGCTAGGAGCGGCCAGATGACGATCTTGAAACCCATGTCCTTGGCTTCCTGCGCCGTGACGGCGGGCGTCACTCCCCCGTGGACAATATTGAGGAGGCACGGAATGGGTGACAGCGCTTTTACAGCATCTCGAGCCTGTTCCTTGGAGAGAATACCTTCGAGAAATGCCACATCTGCACCCGCCTCGTGGGCCGCTTTCAGTCTGCGGATAGCCTCGTCGAAGCCGAGAGACTGTAGGGAATCGGTGCGGGCTATGATGACAATATCACGGCCTGATGCTTTGCGCGCCATGGCAGCTGCCCGAATCCGACTGATGTAAACGTCCGACGAAACGAGTTCTTTGTTGCGAAGGTGTCCACAGCGTTTCATGAAGGTCTGGTCTTCAATGTGCAGGGCGGCAACGTTGCCATCGATGTACGTCTTGACCGTCCGGGCCACTGAGAGAGAGGAACCGAAGCCCGTGTCAGCATCGGCAATGACAGGAATTCGTGTATCAAGACCGGCGATCATGCTGGCATTAGCCGCCATTTCAGGCATGGTGATGATTCCCAAATCAGGCGAACCCAGACGCGACGCCGCGGACCCGGCCCCGGTCATGTAGAGTGCATCGAAGCCGATGTCCAGCGCGAGTCGTGCGGTATAGCCATCAAAAACACCAGGACAGATCACGATTGCATTTGGATCATTCAATTTTTCTCGCAGAATGGTTGCAGGCTGCTTCCACACTCTTTCTGCCGTGCCGTTGGCCGTCGATGCGGTGCTGGCCATCTTCGTAAATCTAGACGAGTGCAATAAAGTTTTCGTTTTCTGATCCTCGCGATATTCTCTCAGGCGAAAGCTTTATGGTGAAAATGCAGCATGTCACTCGGTTGTCAATGGGTGCCAACCATTCCTTTATGTCCATACCAGTGGCGATTCAAACTCCCACCTGCAGTGGTCGAGAAATGCCCGTTCATCGCAGTACCCCACACGCTTGCTGTCTGCTCCGGTGGGGCATACCCGGATGGGGAATTCAGGTTTGCAAGAGAGAAGTCGCAGCTAGGCCAGACCAGAAAGAAGACCAAGTCCTCGTTCAGATTTAGTACTATCCAAGCCCCTGGGGCTTTGTTGGTCACGAGGAAAAGAGGCCGTTTCTATTGATACGAAGCCGTCAGAATTCTGTGTCAGCCACCGGATCATACTCGTTTCCACGCTCTATCTCTCTCCTCTGATCTCACGATGGTCCTGTGCGAGTTCTTTGGCCTTCAGGCCCGTGAAGGCACTGGGCAATCAGCAATTGACGCCTTCCAAGAATTTGAACGAGCGTCGGCCAAAGCAGCGGCTGCAGCAAATTGGCCTGCATCCTTGGGTGTTGACGCATATGCACATGTGGAAGGATCTCCTGATCAGGCGTATCTCTTTGTGTATTGGGAGACCCGGGATCACCATGATGACTTGATGAAACTGCCCACATTTGAGCCGGCCAAAGATGTCCTTCTGAACAGCTTTTTGCCAAAGGTCAAGGCGCCGCCGAATCCGTTCTGGGTCAAGGTCGCGCGTGCCAATGAGCTCAAAGCATCCAATTTGGCCTGTAAGTTTCCTCTGGCTCGATTTGATAAAGCCCACGAGATTGATATTCGTATGTAGTTCTTCATGTTCGACCTCTTCCGGGTTCGCAAAAGCCATTGGAGGATCTGGTGGCGGAGCTTCCCACAGATTTGGGTAGCGGTCTCGAGTCTTCACAACTGTCGTTTCATGCACTTGAAGGGACGCAGGACGAGTTCGCCATCTTCGTGCGGTCAGATTCCAAGGAACAACTTCTGAATGCGACTTCAGGTAGCAGTGCACTCTTGCGGCACCTCAGCACGATCTGTACCGTGGTTTCATCAGCACGATTGAGTTAACGACATAGATACATCTCTCGATTTGACGGGTAAGAGAACGAGCTCGATTCAGCCTTCGTCGGCGTACATCGATTTCAAACCAAGAGATGAGACAGGCAGGGCTGAAACGGATAGAAAAGACTGAAGACGCTTCGTTGTCTATCACAAGGGGTACCTCGGGAGTATCCAGCGATTTAAACAGAAGGAGTTTGGAATGAATTAGTAGACCACAGCCTCTTTTACCTCAATGACACGACATAGAGAATGAGAATGCCGTGTACTTGATCACATATCTTATGTTGACCATTGTAATGCTCAGTACTCTAGTTACATTGCACTGGCGCTCAAGCTACAATCACTACCTCATCGTATGTAGAACTGAAACAGCTCCAGAGCCTTCATCAATCGCTCTTCGCCCAATGACTTGAGTAGTGAGGCAACTCCACCACGGTATTTGGTGTCGTACTCGGTCGGTGAAACCATGCGAACGCTGTGGTCGACATCGTAGACCTTGGTGATCTTTTCTTTCCTACCGTTGGATCCCGAGTCCAGAGTCCCGTGCGCCAGATCCAAGAGATATCTCCCCATGTGCAAAGAGACTGGACGTGCCTCTTCGGGTAGCAAATGCTGGTAGCTCTGCATCGTATAGGCGACGTCGAGAACGTGTCCTGTGCGGCCTTTGAACGGCCCGTCAAAGGGATTTGGCTGGGAGGGTTAGATCTCAGATATTTGTAGTCTGCTGACCAACTCGGCTGGCAACTCACCTCATGGAAATGATAGATATGGAGATTGGCATCGGCCGGCACCGATTCCTGGGTCAACACCACTGGGAGATAGAATCTCGCGTCGGTGACGAATTGTAACAGTCCCATGTGGACCGAGTCTGTGGCAGGGCCGTCTTTGTCGAGCCCGTACCTATCGACAATTTGTTGGATTTCTTTGCCGGTGAAGAACTCTTCGAATGAAGAGCGGAAGTTCTTGAGCCATTCAGGCTGACGGAGAGTTGGAGCCATCGCCGATGCCTAGCAGTACACGCTCAGCCGATGGTCAATGGGTAGAAAGAACGGGGGCTAATGCAGAGGAATCGCACGTACATCCAATTCACAATCGCCAGTCACGATTGTTTTGCACCATGAAAGACAATGGTTGATCTGTCGCCCCAGTTCTTCTGGAGATTTCTGCAGAGGCTTGAACCCAGCGTCCTCGGTAGGGAAACAGCGCATATTGAGTTGCGTAGCGATTAGTTTCTGCCAAGGAACCTCTCTGAGAAGCTTAGTACGCTCAGTCGTGCTCGCGTTTCTGACGCCCATCTCTTGTGTCAGGCTGGTGTAGACCTTTTCGTTCTGCTCAACCGGCTGGACCGGTCGGAGCCTGGGATCTCCCGACATGGGCATAGCCCGTTTGAAGAGCGGCTCTCCTCGAAGGAGATGCATCCAGATCGAGACTGGCAGCATCGCATCGTTAGCATCACTTCAGCTTCACCAAAGTTGCAAGAAGACGAACTGGCTCCTGCCGACTCTCCGAAGACCGTCACGTTCTCCGGGTCACCACCAAAGTCTCCAATGTGGCGTTGGATCTTTGGCATTGTTAGCGACCCTGTGCCTCTCTCCGACTGCTCTTGGCCGTGACTTACCCATCTCAGTGCGTTGGCTTGGTCATGCAGGCCAAAATTGCCTATATGATCTTCCCCGGACATCTCACGGGATGCCATGAAACCGAGCAGTCCCAATCGGTAGCTGTCCTGGTCGTTAGGAACGATTGGTCTTCCAGCACGGGAAGGATGTAAGTTCGCTTCTTACTTGAGCCCAACTCCTATCACGGGCTTGCCATCTTTGACAGCTAGACGAACAAGACCTGCCAGATCTTTGAAACATATAAGCATGCGCGCGGCGCTCGCAGAATAGCGAGGTGTCTTACCGTACTGAGGCCAGCCATTACATCCAATGAAGAAACCACCACTTGACTCGATCAGCGCCCATAGATAGAAGTGCCTGCATTGGCAGGACGCGTAGCTCACCCATGAATACTGTCAAGCAACAGTCAGTCGAGACTCCATTGCAACAAATCGGGGACTCACAATACAACGACAGGCAATTTCTTGGGCCCATCGGTGGGAACCGTCAGCGTCAAGTTCAAACATCTGTCTTCGTCACTCTCGAGCGGATGGTCGACGGGGAGAGTTCGCTGAATCAGTCCAAAGTCGAACTGGATCGAATCCGGATTTTGAGGGGGTATGGGTCCCCATTGAGTGGCATCGTACACACCCTGGCCGTTCTGGTATTCGCCGAGGCTGGCAACGAGCTTGGAAGGTTTCCAGCGAGCCGGTATGGTGGCATAGGGGACACTGCGAAATTGCACGACCCCGTCACCTATCGGCTGGCCCTTGAACTTGCCGAGGCCTTTATGATCGTACAGGACGCTTTCGCTAGTCATGATGCCGCTTGTAGACGAGTTGAGCGCGTCGAGACTAACACAACACAAGTCACTCTGGGTTGAGGTTATATTCCTGTAGATTGTTGCTAGAATGCAACGACCAGCACAACGCAGAGTTTTATGTGAGTTTGATGACGTCCCACGACCTCACAGGGGACCGGGAGTGGTCGAGACGACATGGGTTTGTTTGAACCTTACCCCACCATCAGCCCTGACTGGCAATGCTGGACATGCCAGAATCGCGCCGTAAAGCCGTGGGGACCACGTCGAATGGAGTTAAGTACTAGTATTACATACGCTGTACAGTGCAAAGTCCGAGGACAGGAGTACGAGGGTTTGCTTAATCATCTTTATCCTCACTACATACTCCCGACTCTGCCCATGCACAACATAGACATTCTGGCAGATGGCTTATCTCATTCGCATTGAACTTTAGATCCAGCTCGGGATGTGCAGATTCAAACTTCTCTATCCGGCCTCCTATACAGCTCCAGGGCGCGATGCAGCCAGTATGGAAGAAAAGCGAAGAGACTGAGACGTCCTATTCTCCCAGGCGTGCGCAGCCGCCTTCAAAACATACAAGTCTCCCGGTCTGCGCAGCAAATCGTGTCAGTCCTGCCCAACACCACCCTCAAGGGACCATAGATCAGGCATCGTGACTTACTTGAGTGTCTTTTCCTCGCCCGAGTCGAGAATCAGTGTGACTTCGCCCGTGATGATGGTGCCGAAATCGATCGACGGCGTCGTGTGCATCGGACTCTTCGCTCCCGCGGGCATTTCACATTCCACCCATTCCAGGCCGGCTTCGTTGGCAATGCCGTCCAGAGCATGTGCACCCACGTAATGGATGTTAGGGACGGGGACTTTGTCGACCTTGAAGACTCGTCGGATCGTGGCGTCGCCGGGTAAGTTCTGGATTTCGGCGACCAGGTCGTCCTCGAAGACGCTCTTCCCTTCGGCGTTGACCACCCCAACTGCAATTTTGCCTCGAGGAAAGAATGCCATTGTTGACTTGGAGAGCGTGGATGAGTTTTCTGAAGGTGAGAATGGTGGGGTTGGAGTCTGGTGGGCTATGTAGAGGGAAGGTTGTTTGGCCGCTACAATGATATTTCATTTCCTACTGAGCAGCCCTGATTTACCAAAAAGAGTTAGACAAAAAGGAGGCAGAGGGGAACGGGTGTGGAGGGAGTTTCTGCGGAACAGGATGTGGGGAAGCTGCATCGGATGTTGTGCACCAACACCACAGCCTTGGGTTGTAAGTACAGGTGAGCTCTGGGCTTTTCTAGATGTCTAAGAGATTCGTAGAGGAATGCTCAGTCTGTGACTCCGCCGGCGATATTCTCCACCTCGACCACCTGCGGCTTCTCCTCTGTCTTTGCGGTGTTGCCACATGATTTGTAATATTGGGTGCAGTCGTGCACAAGGGCATTGACCCCACGCTGGAACTCTCGGGAGAAATCCTCGTCGTCCTGTGCTCTCTTGCACATGATCAGAAACTCGTCATTGTCCCCGGCCGTATCCGGGTCCAAGGAGAACAGGCGCCGGATGTTGGCGCACGAGATGGGATTGATGATCTCGTTGTACATGGCGCGACGGACCTCGTCGTATTTGTCGAGAATGCTGTCGTCCGCCTTGTCCTCGTAAATGCCGATTAAACAATCATACAAGCTCCCAATGTCGGCCATGCCCCCGGTGAGGCCCATGCCGCCAAAGGGATTGCATACTGTGCGCGCTCGTGATTAGACCAGCTCGTGCAGGGGGTCCCTTAAGACTTACGATGGGCAGCGTCGGCAGCCAGTACCACTCGACCGACCCTCATCCGTTCTGCGAGGCGTTGATGAACACGGTACGGGCTGATACTCTCCACGTGATACTTTCCTTCATTGGGCTTGGGGTGGCCGGGCAAAAACTGCTCAAACTTCATCGGTTGCCGTGCAATCAATTCCTCGTGGCTCAATCCCTTCTCCTCGCCGTAGGTCACTCGCCATAAGCCGTACTTGGATATGCGCGCCGCCATGTACCAATGTTGTGGATGCAGGATGAAGTTCGCATCATCCAACCCGTATTTACCAAAATCAAAGTATGTCTGTGCCCGGATTGCTTTAGTGTTCGGGTACGAACAAAATCAACTTTCGAGGCTGCACTCACGTTGGTGGCCACAATCTGCTCGTCCCAAGTGAAGCCGGGAAAGCTGTCACCAAACAGGCTGCGTCGCACTCTGCTGCTCGCTCCATCGCACCCAACGACGTACTGGGCTCTGAGTGTCTGCTTTCCCGACGGTGTCTGCACTTCGACCCATGCAGAAGAGTCATCTTGACCCACATCGATCACCTCGTGGCGATACTTGATATCGACGTTGGATAGACGCTCGAGATGCTCCAAGAGGAGCTGGCCGAGGCGATTCAGTGGCAGACATATCATCAGAGCCTTGTCATCCTCGGGGAACACCTTCTGCGTAAAGGTGCTCAGGGGGGAGAGATCGAGCTTTCTCCAACTGATACTATCGAGCACGAACCCGCGCCTCCGAGCCTCGTCGAGAACTCCTGCCCGCTCGAGTTCACGGACTGCCGGGGCGGAATAGTGCGTGGCGCGTGGCCGCTCGTCGAGTCGATCGCCTATTTCGACGATCTGGACAGGAACTCCCTTGCGGCTCAGCATCAGCGCCAACAACAAACCTGCTGGGCCAGCGCCCACGATAATTACCCACGGAGATTTGTCGGCCATTTTTGTCACTGCTGTTGTTGTTTGGGTTGTGTCCAGGGGTCGACGCTGATGTAAGAGCTCTTATGCACCAGGGACTTTTGACTGCTCCCCACATCCCAGTTTGACACGAGCCTGAGGCGCCTGCGGAGGGCGCCGGTAGCCCCTCGGCCTTGTAAGCCCCACGTGAATGGTTGGAATGGAATTGACCATTTCTGCACCATCCACACTTAACCCCCAATTTTTCCCCGAGCCACTGCAATCCCCAGCTTTTGCTGTAATCCGGACCAAGCATCTGTAAAACGGGAGAATTGCCAGTTTGAGGTTTCTGTGAGAGCGATGACTGGCATAGACAGCCCTTTGGAAGGGAGCTATGCGCCTCAAAAGCTCCGTCAATTGCTCTATGGTTCCAATGTGGTGAAGGAGAAACTGGTGGCATGCCTCCCACGAGCGACGTCCCGAGCGTTCATCATCACTGGAGACTCTTTGGCCACCAAAACGCCGCTCATCCGGGATGTGGAAGACATTCTAGGAGCCCAACGGCACGCTGGAACATTCAGCGGCATCCAGCAGCATTCGCCGAACGGGCCATTACAAGAAGCCCTGGCACGGGTCCAACAGGACGCGACCATTGACACACTGATCAGTATCGGAGGCGGGAGTCCAATTGATGCAGCCAAATCCATCATCTATCATATCGGCACCACGGATGGTCGCTGGCTCTCGCATATTACGATTCCAACGACCTTGAGTGCGGCCGAATGCACCGACATTGGAGGCACGACCATGAGTGATGGCCTCAAAAAAGGTATCCGACACCCCGACGTCTATCCTGCCACGATCCTGTATGACTCCGTGTTTGGGTTACACACCCCACCTCATCTGTTCTTGACCACCGCGATTCGAGCGCTGGATCACGCGTTGGAGGTCCAATATCACCCTTCGGCGAGCTGGATTCCGTGTCGAGTGCTAGCTCTCAACGCCATCGCGAATTTCTTCCAACTTCTGCCCAAGTACAAAGAAGATCCGAGAGACGAAGACACCATCATCCGCCTCTTTCTCTGCGCGTACGCCAGCCTCGGATATCTGGGCCAGAATTTCACGGGTTCCGTCGGCCTGAGCCATACCATCGGCTATTCGCTGGGAAGTCCGTACGGGATCCCGCATGGGGTCACCAGCTGCATGACCTTGGCCCGAGTCATACGATTGAAGGCCGCGATGAATAAGGAAGAGGCAAGACAGATTGCAGGTATCCTGCCATTTATCGGAGGAACTCCATCGGGGGATGACAGGAAGGACGGTGATGAGGTTGGGAAGAGGATCGGCCAGTTGATCACGGACCTCGGTCTGACCACGACACTCAGTGATTACAACGTGGGCAAAGACCAAATCGACATCATATGTAAGCGAGCAACGGGGACCTGGATGCCGGGAGAGAAAGAGCGAACCAAGGAGGACGATTTCGTCCTTGCCGTGCGGGCTCTGATCGAAGAACTGTATTAGCCAGGCTCGATGAAAGCGATACTAAGGTACAAAATTCACAAAGATGGCCGAGAAAGAGTACAAGCTCAATTCTCAAGGTAAATGAGTTCTGATAAATTTCTGCTGTAACCCTTTCCATCGTACTTTTCACCAGAGACACCCGGCACCTCGATAGAACATTTTATTAGGGCGGTGAAGGAACACTACTTCGCTCCAAGGTAGTGAATTTATGGTCAAAGCATAATTCTATCGCATTATATCCGCTATTCATCAATTGACCCTCGTTTTCCACTCGTTCAGGTTTTCAAGACACATTCAAGCATTGACGTAATTGTCCTCAGAACATGAAGCTTTTGGATCTGCAGTCCGGCTCGATCGAGAAGTTCCTCCATCTCTTCGTACGATCTCTCTTTGCCACCGAAGAAAAGAACAGCACTGGCGGCCATCAGATTCCCGGAGTCGCTGAGTGGCGTCTGGGGAACAGGAATGGACGATGAAGGAATGGATGCTGAAGGCTTGTAGTAAGGGCTTGTGCAGAGGATTTCGTTGATGACGAGCTTTGCGTTGGGAGTCTTCTTTATGCCCTCAGCGCACCGCTTCAGCACCGCCAGGGCTTTGTCGTCGCCCAAATCACGGCTGGCAAGATCATGCGGGTTAATAAATGGCGCTTCGGACCTAGTAGACGGGGGAACGGGGCTGGAACAACTTACAGCACGCCTCGGAGGTACCAAATTTCTCCCTCACTCTGGTTCGCCTCGTAGAAATCTTGGGTGACGAAACTGATCTGTCCGTTATCGACTCGTCCTTTCATGTCCTCGGGAATGGTCTTTGTCCCAACATATCAATAAGGCGGCACCGATACAGATCTATTCCTGGCCAACTTACCGCTTTCATCATATCGATCCCCGCAGGCAAATCCTGGAATATCCATTTGATATTGTGGTTGATGCGCAGGACGTCATAGCCACTGTCGCCCGGGGCAGCGCCGACGTCGACCACCACAACTCCAGAAAGATCTTTCCACGGGTAATCATGCAGTAGCCCTCCTCGCGTAACTCTCTGTGTGATTCAGTCCCTTCGTTAGCCGGACTGTGGCTGGATTCGCGGGCAAGGCTTGCCAAACAAAAGACTAAGCTGGAACAGCTTACATTGAGCCATGGGACAACACCCGCTCCCACCTTGGTTGCAATAGGCGCGCCCTCCGGAGACATGATGTAATCCATAAAGCTCTGGTCTTTGTGCAGGTATGCTCGACTGAAGGGGCTTTTCGCGGCATCGAACGAGTCTCGCGTGTCCGGGTGGGTCAAGTCTTCGCGCAACCCAGTGGCACAAATCGCATTCTCCTCGGCCCTTTTCATCTTTAGCAGGGGCTCACCACGGGAAACTATAGCACACAGGCTCTTGAGCACCTACGAGAGCGACAAGAAAAACTCTGCTCCGTGTTCCTTGAGCAGAGCTACACTGTGTCTGGTATTCTCAAATGTATCACGAGCAGTCTCGGCGAAGACGAATTCGGCCGTGAGAAGTCGGATCACTCGGCCTATTTGCGGACTCAGTTTCCATGCTGCAGCTGCAGGTTTCTCGGGAGCATCAAACCCAGTTTGTTCTGATTGACATTGAGCGTCTGGGATAGTTGCTCGAGCGTGGCTGAGCCTCCATGCTGTTTGATGGCATCTGCAACACCCAAAGACGCCGCGGTGTCAACAGCGGCGCCGCGAATGGCACCGTATGCCGCGTCAATGATCTTGTAGCGCGACGGCGTCACGATCGCCTCGATGGCGCGCGTATCTGCCACAATCTTGTTCATGTACTGATAAGCCTCTGGCTGGGCTGCCTTCTCGGGGTCATCGAGAGGATATAGCTCCGCCTCCCAGAGATGAGGCTGCGCCAGTCCACTGGCTGCGATGGC